TGAGTGGATTGAAGTGTATGTTTTTGTGTTGTTTTTTTTTTTAAGTTAACAAGAAATAATTTTATGGATTTTTCAGAAGCAGTTAGATATAGTCTAATGTATGAAATATGGTGAATAAATTTGCAAATATTTAAATTTTTCTGAGACATGATGAAGAATTTGATAGCATGACTTTTTATGGAAATCTCAGGTCTAAAGTAAATATTATATTAAAATATTTATCTCCAGCCAAGTATTTTTTAAAATGCATCAATTATTTGGAATCAAACAAAACTTCATAAATATATTAGGATTGTCGTAGTTGATACTAATACTTCTTACAAATTATCCCTAGACACATATCCTCAACTTACTTTGTTTTAAATTTCTTTGTTAATCCATTTTATTTGCAGCTATCGAGACCTCTTAGACAGATGGCGATATTGGCATCAGAGGTAAAGCATTATAAATAATTATATACCAGCTTTTCTTTATCTGTGAAATCAAATAGTCTATTGTTTAGCACCTTTTCAATATTGTTATTGCTTCAAAATATTTAAAAGTTTATATTTATTTCAGAGCTAGATTTGATATAGTTCGTCAGTCCTTTATTCAAGAACGTGTCCCACCACAAGTTCATATCAGCTGTAATTTCTGTGGTAAACCAGTCACAACAGGCGTGCCTAGTTCGATGATGGGTCGTATATCTGTTAAAATACATAATGTATTTGCAAGAGGTCCTCAAAACAGGCCAAAGGTTAGAAGATTTATTTATAAAAATTAATACTAGGGTTCCCAAAGACTAAGAGGGCTGGCAAAATATTTTTATAGCCAATATCCTAACATAGTTTTCGACGTCACGTTGACCTCATATTCAACATTGTGATATTCTATTAGGAAATCTGAGTTAGGCCTTTCTCTTTAAATACTTGTCTACACTGATCTCAGTCTCAGCTGTAAAAAAAAAATTATGTAGTTAAAATATTTGTTTCTGTTTTGGTCAGACATTAAAAACTTGATCCTTCAGGGCACCTGAATATTTCAGCAATAAAGCACCATTTAAGATAAGTTCTGAAAACTCAGCATAGTGCTTTACAGGCAAAGGGCATTTACTGTTGCACTCGTTTTCTTACATTGTCTTGACTTTTCAGCTCCTATTGCAAGATGATTTACTCTTGAATTTCTAATTAAATTTGTAAATTATTCCAAATCCTCTGTACTATTTTCTAAAGCACTTTTTCAAGATGTGGATTTGTATGATGAGGTTCTTCATTTCTATACTGCTACTTGAACATGGTTTATCAAAAGGAAAAAGTCATTCTTTGAGCCGAAAATTAAAGATATTCCTTGAACTTGGATGAAACAAATGACATTGTCTGGGATTGATGGGGGTCAGCTTTGATCATGAATGAATATATTTATAGGAAAATTTATATCCATCATAATTCCTGAAAGCAATTAATCTTTATCTTAATGCTTCCACACTCATAATTTTAAATAATGTCATTAATCTTTTTCTTTCGCACACATTTTTTGTAACACTTCTTCAATTCCTGCTTTGAAAGCTAAATTTTATATTAATTTCAATTTTGAACTGTGTCACAATTTATTTAGATGTGTCTACACGTCCGGCGACCAGAGAAATAGTGCTGGACATATTCCCCAGGCGGGCATGTAACGTGACCACCAGACAACTAGTATGTGTTATTATTCTGACAGACATGTCATGTGACAAGAGGTCGCCAGCAAAATCCAACGCCTCAAAAAAAAAAAGTCCATTATCTTCGTTTAATTCAGAGGCGTAGAGTCTACGGTAGAGTGTTTAGCACCTAAGAGATAATATTCATTTTAAAGCTCGCCCCCCCCCCCCCCC